CCCGGGCCCCACAACCCCGCCACCCTCCGCAGCCTCACCATGTTCATGATGGTCAGCACGTAGCTCTCGACCTGCGGCTGCCCGTGGTACTCCACCATCTTGGTGTCGGCGACCACCAGGGTCTCCACCCACTTCTCCCTGCTGACCGAGCGCTGATGCAGACGCCTCGGGCGCTGCCGACGCCACTGCTGCCGCTGCTCCCAACGCTCTCGCCGGGCCTCCGGCTCCATGGACGCTGTGGGCCCCAGGCCGGGTGGGGGTTAGCTGCCAGCAGGCTGGCCCAGGCCGTGCCTCTCCAGGGCCTCTCCTCTGCGCTGGGATCACAGGCAGCAGCCTGGACTCCCCCCTGTGGCTCCGCCCGGGACCTGTGCCGTGTGACCCTGACCCGGTCACTTCCCCTCTCTGACCCTGAGCATCCCCACCTACAAACAGGAATCAGCCAAACAGCCACAGAAGCTGACCTCGGAGGAGGGGGGCAATGAAACGGGGGACAGGAACACACAGCGAGGCAGCTCCTGGGCCCCTAGCCCCGGGGGGCTGGTGCATCCCAGCACACGCGGTCCCCAGGGCCCAGCCCGCTGCCTGGGAGACCCACTGCACTGTCCCAGGCTGACCCGGATCAGAAGAGACAGCACATCTACGAAGCAGGAAAACCAAGGCCCAGAAGCATGACCGGATATCTGTTCCAACCAGTGGAGTCCCTGAGCGGGGGCACCTTCCGAGGCTGGCATGCCGGCCAAGCAGTCCCCCAACCCAGCAGCCCACGGTAGGCGGCTCCCTACCTGGACTGGCCAGCACCGTGGCCGCTCTGAAGAAGAAAGGCTGGAGCTAGGTCCCCAGGGACAGAGAGGAGTTATTCTGGGCGGGGACCAGTGTCGGGAAGGGCAGGAGGTTCCTGGCTAGCTGCCCTGGTGGGCCTGGCCAGGCAGTGGGTGAGGAGGTGGTGAGAGGGGTCAGCCCAGGGCATCAGCTGGGGCAGGCCTGGCAGGCAGAGGCCTCAGGCCGGAGGCACACTTGGAAGACACGGGCTGTGGTGATGTGTCTATCTGTCTGAGTCCCTTTGGTCCGAGGGGAGGTGTGCATGGAGATGTGGAGAGAGGCTTCTGGAAAGAAGCTCGGTGCCTCCAGGCCCATCCCCTTCCCCGGGCAGGAGAGGACCATACCTGGTACCCCGCAGGTGCCGGGAGCTCTGGAGCCCCCCAGCTCCGCCCCCCTCTCTGGGGCTTGGCGCTTATAGACCACGTGGGGCTGGGCGTGGCCAGGACGGGCAGGCACACCCTCCAGGGGCTCGATGAAGTAGTCCTCGTTGGAGAGGCGGAACACACCTGTCTGGGAAGAGGTGCAGGCTCACACGGAGCGGATGAGCACTCCCGTCCCCACCGTCCCCGAGGCCCGTGCTGTCCGCCCAGCCCACGCTGCTCCCAGCACCCGGCTGACCCCGAGCGCGCGTGCGTCTCCCGCTCTGGGCCTTTGTTCACTCCGGACCCTCCACCTGGCACGTCCTTCCCGGCCGTTTCACACAGCCAAGGGCCTGGGGGCTGAGCCCCGGAGCCACCAGCCTCCGAACATGCCGCACACGCCCACCTCGCCCCCCTCCCCCTTCCCTGCCCTGTTGGGAGCAGGAGACGGGAGCACCCTAGATCTGAGATGGCATCTTCCGCGCGGTCCCAGACGGCGGTCTTGAGTCGGGCGGCCCCGGGGCCAGCACCCAGGCCATTTCCCAAACGGCCGTCTTGAGTCGGGCCGCCCGGTACGCCCAGGCCACTATCCATCTCCCCTGCATGCCAGCCATTGTGTCGTCTCAAAGCTGGCCTGCAGCCCACTCTCCCGGAGGTGATGAATCACTCCAAGCGCAGCTCTCCCCACACCCCAGCCACGGAGATGCTCAGTCACCAGGACATCCTACTCCCTGGTCCCAGGACCTCCGGAGAAGGGAAGCCCGGCGGGCGTGTCTTGGGCACATCCGCCACATTCAGAGAGGCCCCAAGAGGGAGGGATTTGGGGAAGTGTCTTTGGGCAGCCGGCCACCTCCTGAGGAAGCTCAGAGCTCCGGCAGGGAAGAGGATTTTTCCCCCCCCCCCCCCCACTCCCTCACCCCGCAGCTCCCTCCACGGCACCAAGTGTGCCCCCGGGGCTGTGCAGGGTCGAGGTGAGCCCCGCGTGCCAGAGAGTGCCCCCCCCCCCAGAGGGGCTGCAGACCCGGGTGTGAATGCGGACCGCAGCACCGGCTAACTGGGTGGCCCTGGGCCAGTCCGTCTCCCCGCCTGCTTCCTCATCTGTTAATGGGAATGACACCCATATGAACAGCTGCTGCGGATCCAAGGAGATTAGCGAGAAAGGGCAGGCGCCTAGGGCCTGATGTGTGGCAGCTGGGGCGTGGGCTCTCATTAGGCCGGTCCTGCTACTGCCCGTGGCTCCTCCTGAGCGACCTCAGCTGAGGACCCTGGGGTGGGGGAGGGGGGGGAGGTCCACGCATCCCCGCGGGGAGGGGGAGGGCAGAGCCGGTCACCTAGCCCAGAGCATTGGGGGTCCCCGTGCACCCCAGCAGAGGGAGGCGACCACGTCCACCCAAAGGCCTGCTCCCCCTGGGGGTGAAGGTGAGGCTGCCTGTCCTGGAGAAGCACAGCCCAAGCGGCTGTGGGGGAGCAGTCCTAACTGACGCCGCCAAGGAGCGAGAACCGCGCGGTTCGAGGAGCTACCTGGCCTGCACAGGGATTCTCCAAGTCCGCTCTCTGCACGGGCAGAAACGGAGGCTTCGGACACTCACCCCCACCCTCCGAGGCTCTGTCCTAACAAGGCCTGCGGGCGCTCTGGCTCCGTTCAGGATTGAGCCCCGCCATCCCGGAGGACCGGCGGGGACTCCCGCGCTCACTCACCAGCCCGTCGCAAGCGCTGATGGCCGCCAGGCCGCCCTCCAGCTCGGGGTCCTGCACCTCGCCGAGCAGGTGGCAGGCGGGCGCGCGGGCGCGGATGTGCGTGCGCCCCAGGCCGCCGCGCCGCCGCGTCTCGCTCACGAAGCCGGGCGCCAGCAGGTGCGCGTTGGCCGTCAGGTTGAAGCGCAACTCGCGCCCGCGGTACTGCAGCTCGTAGAAGGCGGGCGCGGCGCGGCGCGCGGACACGTCCCGCTTGCGCAGCGCGCGCGGCCACAGCTCGTACGACAGGAAGGCGCCGCCCGCGTCCACGCGCACCGGGTGCACCACGTCCAGCGCCGCGCGGCCGTCGGCGCCGCTCCCTGCGGGGAGAAAACCGGCTGCGGTCGGGGCTGCGGGGCACCTGCCCGGCCCCCTCCTCCACCCGGGTCACCGCGACGACCTCCCGCGGGCCCCCTCCCCTCGTCTGCGTGCGGCGCAGCGGCCAGAGGAGGCCCGCCTCCGAAAAAGGCAGAGCTCTGGCCAGTGTGGCCCCGGGCAAGGTTATTCTCAGTCTCACCTCGGCTACACCTGCCTCCCTGCGGTTCCCGCCCCACCCCCGCCCCCATGCTGCACTGCCGCCCCCTCCGGGTGGAACACGCTGCCCTGCCCGCTGCCTGTCGTGCAGGTTGTGCAGCAAGATCGAGCCCCCGCTCAAAGGTCTCACTGCCGCCTCCCCTGACCACTTTGTTTTAAAAAGGCAACTCCCTGCCCCCCATCTGCCCCTGCTTCCCCCCCCCCCCTTTTCCCCACAGCACTCAGGGAATGCCATATGCCTTGTTTCAATTTTTTTTCTATTTTCTCCCAATGCAAACTCCAGGAGGGCAAGAAGCTCTCCAGTCTTTGTTGAAGACTTCACGGGCCCAGAGTGTCCTAGGACTCTGAGCAGTTAAGACTAAGTTTCTCAGTGAGTGAGTCAATCTGTAGATGGGAGTAAAAACCATTTGCACCCTTAGGGCTGTTGGGAGGGTTAGTGATCTGAACCACTTGAACCACTCCACACAGCAGTGCCTGGCCCGATGACCGCGCCTGCCAGCAACTACGATTTGCGGGGATCGTATAGCCTGGTGGACTTTAACATGTGCCCTCAGGTGCCGGAGGGTTCTGCACGTCCCTCCAGGCCTCCTGTGAAGGAGAGATGGAGGAAGACCACGCAGATGAGTGGCCCCCATTTGAGCAGAGCAGCTCTGGTTCATTTGAAGAGAAGGTTCCAGACCTGGAAGACATCTGTCCTCTCTGATTTCCCACTAACACCAGATTCCTAGCCTTTTTTGCCACAGACCCCTTCTCAGAATAATGTTTTCAAATGCATAAGGTGCAAATGAGTGCCAAGGAAACCGATCATATTGAAACACAGTTATCAGAATAATTTTAGAGGTGGGATATAGAATTACGTGCTCCTTTGTGAACGCATTAAACAAGCTCTACGGGCAACTTTTATGGTGATTTTGAAGTGACGAGTATCAACCTTATCTCAAGATACCTGCAACTGTAATGAGACAGAAAAGTGTTTTGGTTGTTTGCCTCGGTAACAAAATCACAGGTGCTAATGCCATTGTACTTTGGTGCTAATATGCATAATTGAAGGAAATGCAAACGGAGGTAAAAAGCTTGAAGACATAGTATCTTCCCGTCCAAGTTCACGGATCCTTTCCATTTTGCCCATGTCCCTGGGGCCGCAGATTCCAGGAGGGCACCTGCAGTAAAGTCTCCAGACTGCTTCTGAAGAAAGCAAAGGGAGGTTCAGAGAAGCGCACAACCGGCCTGAAGCCACACAGCCAGAGTCATCGAGCCGGGACTGGGCTCCAGGTCTCCCAGATGGCTTGTCTCTTGAGGAACACTCTTCTACCTTCTCAGTGGTCTGTCCCCTCCTGGGCCTCTTTCCTCATCACTGACATGAAGGAGTTGTGCTACATCAAGTTGTTCAAACTTCTTTAGCTACCAGACCTAATCTGCAAAAGAAATCTCGTGTGGACACAGGGACACAGCAGAGTGGCGCCACGGTGGGTGGGGGGCAGGGACCCTGGGGCTGAGGCTCTTGTCCTCTTTTGGCTCTCTGCAGTTTCCAGGCTCGGAGGAACAGTCAGGAAAGTGGCCCACCAGAGTGTGTCTCAGCCCTGCGTCCTGCTCTGACCAACCGGGCGTATGTCCGGCTCCCCAGGACAATAACCCCTAGGGCCACAGGCATGCCCGGACACCCTGCAGATGTCCCACCAAGGCTCCCTCTGTGGCTGCCGGGGAACCCAGCCAAGAGCCGCATCCCAGCCAGGCTGCAGAAGCCCTCTCGCCCGGGTCCTGCCAGACCACGTGCAGAGTGCCCTGCGGAGGACATGCCCCACTGCCCACAACCGCCGGGCGGCCGGCCCTCAGGCTGCAGCCCAAGAGCACGTGCTCAGGCGAGAGGCGGACGCGCCGGGTGACCCTGTGTGGTTCCGGGCAAATCTTCCCTCCCCGAGTCTCTGGAGGACACTCGTGCGAGGATTTTCCAGACTTCTCGGGTAAGAATTTGTTAGACACGAATTCCCAGGTCCCGTCCCAGACGCACTGAATCAGCATCTCCAGGAAATGGGACTAGGAAGCTGGGTTTTCCCCCAGAGCCTCGGGGGACTGCCATCGTCAGGGAAGTTGGACGACCCTGCACCGGGAGTGCACTTGGTCTAACAGCGGCCACACCTGGAGAGCTGGGAAAGACTGAAGAGTGCAGAGGCTGGGACGGCCCAGAGACCGATTCCATAGCCCCAGAGCTCTGGGCCCCTCACTCTGCGTTTTCCGCATTTTCCCGAGCCTTCCAGGGACTCTGACGTACTCATCTCGGAGGCTGACCTTCGGAAGCCAGGGGTCGGCACTTTGAGGAGGGAGACTCCTTCTCTGACGTCCAACGAGGGCCTTTGGGACTAGAGCTTCCCAACCACCGCCTGCAGACTTGTTTTCTGTCGGTTTATTGATCTTGGTCGTTCATTTTGGCTTCCGCAAATATTGGAAATATTTAATCAGTTGCCTATGTTTAAAAGTTATGCGATAGTGCACAAAGTCTCAGTTTTCAGCTTTCCTGGAAAAGCCTGGCCATCTATCCCCATCAGGCCTAAATCCCACGTGGCAGAAGTGGCTGGAGTCGAGCAGGGAGCCCCCCTGGGAGAGGGCCCATACCCCCCCCCAGCGGCCTGCCCCACGGCCCCCTGCTGTGTCCCCAACTGTAAAGGTAGGGTCCTCTGGCCTCACGGTTATGCTGCCTCTCAATGACCAGAGAACTGAATTTCTAACAACAACGGGAAAACAAGAGAGAGCCCGCCCACCGTGTTTGCTCACTTGCCCTAGCGCGTGGCGTTTGGGGTGGCGCCACTGACTGCTCGTGGCGAGGGAGCGGCGGGTGCTCCAAAGTCCAGGAAAATGCAGAGGACGCCGTCCTCCCCCTCAAAACAGAGACCCGGCAGAGGGCACTCATCCTCACCCCTGGCCCCGTGCTGAGATGGGCCCCAGGCAGGGGAAGGGACGCCTCATGGGCGGATGGAGGAGGAAAAGTCTCACTGGAGAGGGCAACATGTGAGGTGGACCCACGGAGGGTCGCGGTAGTGGGCGCCGTGTGACGGACCCCGAGAGTACAAGGTGCCACGGGTGTGGGCAACACAAGACGGGAAGCTCGGCCACGCACGCGTTTTGTACAATGGGACAATGGAGTGAAAAAATCGTGCACGGCCAAGAACGTGGCTTGGAGCACAGAAAGGTTCAGGCCGCAAGCCGGCCGCTCGGTGGCTGTGTGACCGGGGCAGTCGCCATCGTGCTGAGGCTGGCCTGGCCCTGCTCACCGGCGCAGAGAACCCAGGTCGGGAACGGAGGGAGGGGCGCGGGACAAAGAGGTGGGCAACGAGACAGCTACATCCCAAGTTCTGAAGCGGCTCCCGGGCTCGGACGGTCACGGCCAAGGCCACGAACGACCGGCTGGAGGTGCGGGTGCACGGTGCCGGCCTGACGCACTCACTGCCCCACGGAACCGCAGCCACACCGCACACCCGCAGACGTGCACACCCGCAGACGTCCGGAGCTCGCATGTGATGGGGGAGTCTGAAGCAGTGCGGAGAAATGGCCCCAAGGACTCCAAACAAATGTCCCTGGGGAGCGAGGATCCGTGTGCCCTGGGATGTGCAGTCCTGTAAAGAATCCCTGCTCTAGACCGTGGGCAAACACCGCAGGACAGAAATTCAAGGTGAGTTATACAGAAGCAGTCTGTTAAGTTCGAAACTGCGACGGGGACCAAGCAGAGAGGCACGCAGGTAACCGGCTCGAGGGTCAGCGTGTGCCAGACCGAGACGCCACCCGCGGCTGTTAGCCCACGGGGGAGACACTCCAGCATCAGGTCTGTTTCTCCATCTGCGAAATGGGTATGATAATCGTCACACCTGCTCTCTCTGCCTGTGGGAGAGTCCCCTGGGCTCACACGCAGGTGCCAAGAATGGGACGTGGCACACACAGAAAACAGAGCTAAGTTGTAACTGAAAATTAGCAAGAGACACTCTGAAGCACACTCCGCAGAGAGAGAGGGAGACACAGAATCCGAAGCAGTTCCAGGCTCCCAGCTGTCAGCACAGAGCCCGACGTGGGGCTGGAACTCACCGACCGTGAGATCATGACCTGAGCCGAAGTCGGACGCTCAACCGACTGGGCCACCCAGGCGCCCCAAGAAAATACTCTTTAATCAAAAAAGAAAAATAGGGGCTCCCGGGTGGCTCAGTGGATTGAGCGTCGGACTCTTGGTTTCAGCTCAGATCATGATCTCATGGTTCTTGAGTTCGAGTGCCATGTTCTCAGCACCAGTAGTGTGGTCACTGCTCGGGAGTCTCTCCCTCTCTGCCCCTCCCCTGCTCACGCTCAAGCTCGCACTCTCTCTCTCTCTGTCTCTCTCTCAAAATAAACTTTAAAAAAAAAAAAAGCAAAAAGAAAAATATTTCTAGGAAGCTATCACTTTGCCATAATTTTTATCTTCTTCTTTTGTTCTGCATAATTATTTTTGTAATTGACTTTATTGTTTTGCCATTAAAATATGTCATAAAGGGGGCAAAGTGTGTTATAAAACAAATAACTCTTTCATGGTCTCCTAAAGCCGACCCCTGGCAGAGACCTGGTGGCTGAAGCGAGCAGAACCCAGTGCCGGCAACGGGAAATTGCGGGGTCCAGTCTTAGAAGGCATGCGGGTGCACGGGCACTGGGCAAGGGGATGGGTGTGGGCACTGTGCAGGAAGACGGACGGCCAGTGGTTCACGGCCAAGTCCCTCCTGCCAGGTCAGGAGCTCTATTCAGGGTGTTACATACTTTGAATACCATCCCTAGGTGACAGAACTGTCACTTTGCAGTTTCTACCAGAGAAATGCCAACGTGGTGTTTACTGTCACCTCTCTCTCAGGAACCAGAGTGACGGTCCAGCCCTTCAAACGACCTGACCCGAAGCTCATGCCAAAGATAACAAATAACCAAGGTGTGTGGTGTGCGTGTGGATGTGGGGGAGACAGATGCCGTCCTCCTCAGGTCGGCCTGCATGTGCCTGGCACGCACACACGTACACGCACACACAGGCCACGTGTGCAATTCAGCGTGCTGGTGGGGACATTACCAGGCCCCAGTCCCACCAACCCCAACAAATCCCTTGATTTGTCACAGGACAAACAATCAGGGTACAGCTTCCTAGAAGTGTGTCCAGGATATGCCCTCTGGTCTCAAAGAAGGTCATGTGCAGTGGGGAGAGTCTAGGACCTCTGGGCAGCTCCAACGACAGTGAGACGGCTCAGCTCGGCAGCCCAGGGCTCAGGCACCCCAAGTGGGGGCAGAACGGGGAGGCCCCCTGTCATGTACCCGCGGGGACACCACAATAGACATTCCACCCAGGGGTGGGGGGCACATTGGGTGGGAGAAGCTACCTGCCCTGCGTCCACTGCCAAACGGCAGGTCCAAAGCACAGGACCCACCAAGGTCTCCCCGGTCTTCCTGGGTCTCTGTGGCATTAGCGAAAATGGCCACCACACGGTAGTCAGTCACTCTGCCCTGTGCTAAGCAACTGACATTCAGCATCTCAGTCCTGCCAAGAACCAGGGGAGGCAGACACCACTGTCCCCACTTAACTACAGCCCGGGAGGGGCAGGAGGCTGGCCAAGTTCATCCATGGGTCTGGCTTCCAGTGCAAGTGGAGAACGTTCCGACTCCCCACTCCTCTCACAGCTGCCAGGGTCCTGGACCCAAGTTCCCTGGGCCAAGGGGGTCCGTGTTGCCTCATCCCCATCACCTGGTCAGTCCCCATGGGTCCCCGCTCTGAGCAGGGGGGTAAAGGACTCACGCAGTAGCTAAAGGGCCAGACTGGCAAACCACCCTCCTCTCTGAGCCTGTCCCGTGTTGTCACCTGCCTTGCAGCACTCTTGTAGGACTGATGAGAATTAAGAACCTCATTAAATATTTGCTCCCTCTACACTCCACACGCACTGCTAGAGGGAACCTCCCTGAAACCTTGCTTTCATGAGCTACTCCCCTCAACGGCTCCCCAAAACTTCTAAGATCTGATTAAAGTGCCTCCTCCTACACTCCGGCCCCGGACGCTTTTCCAAGGCTGCGGCATCCCCAGCACGCAGGCCCCATGCAGCCCACGCCCCGCCGCGGGGACGCCCCCCGCCCACCCCCGACCCGAAGTTCATCCATCCCCAGTCCCTCCGGGCTCTGGCCTCTCCTCCCCTACAAAGCCCTCCCGACCGCTTGGCCCGCATGGCTCTCTCCCGGCTATCCGACCGGCCCCCATCAGCGCTCCCTGGGCACACGGCCAGGGGTCCCCCTAGACCCTCGGCTCCGAAACTTCCAGGCCGGCTGCCTCGGACGCCTGGAGCTCCGCGGCCGAGCAAGGACCTGGACTCTGGCCAGAGGCTCGTCGGAGGCAAGCCGGGCGGGGCAGGGAGAGCCGAGCCCAGGGCCGGGAGAGAAGCTCCCCTCCGCTGCGCCCGGGCGCCTGCACACTCGGGGGAGGGGAGGCAGGAAGTGCTGGGGGCGCGCGAGCTGGGACCCCGCGCCACCGACCCCGCGCCCCGGCCCGCTGCGTGTCGGCGGGGTGCTCCGCGGACCAGGCGCCGACGAGGCTCCACGCCGGGCCCTCCGCGCGCGGACCAGACGGGGGTGGGGGGGGCCCGCGCCGTGCGCCCGAGGGCAGAGGGGTTTCCTCC